GAACTACATTCAAAGATGGAAAGAGGCAGAAGTAAGAAGAGCTATGTCTGTCCTTTTTCTTTAAATCAGGAAACTAATCCATCCCTTGAACAGGCTCAGAAGGCAGGAGACAGGATGCTCATACTCAGCTTAGACCGTCACTGAGACCGAGCACATTGTCATCAGAATAATCAGGGTTCTATCAGCATGGAAGGAGGTGGGCCAGTGAATGACAGCAACTGACAGTGTTGGCCCCAAGTGCCTACTATGTATGAGACTGCACTGTACTAGGTGCTATGAGGAATGAAAGGACGTTAAAGATGGGGCTTTCTATCAAACCTTCCAGAAGTTATGTATTCCAATAAATATTCTCTTTTAAGGACCTCACAGTAGGAGGGTGCACCGTTATCTCACTGATCCTTTGGTTGCTCAGTCGAATACATCTTCAGAAGATGAAGATTTGTCACATGTCACATGTACTACCAACTGTAAAGGCCACTTTTAAAGAGTCATTTCCAAAGTGATGGAGCAATGGTATGTTTGGGAATAAGTATTTAGTCAATTTCCCCAAAGTGACAACTTCTTAGATATCTAAGGTTTGTTTTTTTTAAAGCCAAATCAGTCACGTGATAGTCCATCTCAAAACTATACTTTGTCCTTAACATGCATACGAACTAGATGAGAAAACTAACAGGTGAATTGAGCGCAAACAACATGGGTCTATCTAGTATGGTGGTAAATTACAATATTACAGGCAATATATTTGGAGAGAATTTACAGCAGATGAAGATCAATGAAGGCAGGCATGGCAGGAAAGCTTCAGAGAGGTGTGGTCCTTGATGGCCATGAAGGACGGTCTGGCTGGGCTTTGTTCTTCATTTCCCTGTTCTGCTGCCATGAGACCCAGATTCCTCTGATCCCTCATAGAGTTGTTTATCCTCTTTTTATTAAGTACCTGGTTACTTTCATTAATTTACAGTTCACCTGTGAAACCTTGTGACTTTTACTTAGTAATCTTGATTAAATGACTTCTTTTGCAGTGTTTCATAGGGCAGGCTTTGCAGCCACACAGATCAAGATTTGAATCCAAGGTCCAGTACTTACTGGCTTGGTGGTCTTGTGTAAGTTCCTTAACGTCTTTCAGTCTGCTTCCTTATATTTAATAATCTCACCTAGGTAGGGCTGTTGTGAGATTGAAATAAGATGGAGTAAGAACACAGAGCACAGTATCCTACCCTGAGAAAGTGCAGGATAATGGCATCTGCTGTGATGATCACCATATTGATATAGGCAGTGGTGCCATTAATATAAACCAAGCTCATGGAAAGGGATGGATATGAGAGAGCCCCTACTTGGTTTTCACCACTTTGTCACTGTTCACTTTACATGAATGTACACTCACCAAAAGTAAATTCCATTTCCTTTGACTTTTTAATAATCACTGCCTTAGAAACAGCAAAGATGGATTTAGGTACTTAGGGGGGTTCTATTCTATTATCCGTGAAGGCACCAACAATGCGACTCAGATTGCTGAGTGAGACAAGGCAACATCCTGAGAAACTGGCAAAAGCACAGGAGATCTTGGAGCATGTGCAATTAGATGACACTGTTTATTGGGGCTTGGAAACCAATCTAAAAGAATTTATGCTTTAAATCAATGGTAGTTGTCAATGAGCCTGTGAGGGAATCCTTGCTAGGACCCTCTGGCTTTTACTGCAACTCATATTGACAATAACAAAAGAGAAGCCTCCCAAGCAGAAGGTCAATCTAATCCAATCACTTAATGCAGAATTATGGTATCAAGTTTCCACATCACTGAATGACCATGGGTTTAGAGGTGTGCACCATAAAATAGCTGCGGGTGTTAGACATTTAACAAGTTGTTTTATTCCTAATTGGTGGCATTTGCTTAACTGTTTTCTTAATTCTGATTTATGTTTTTATGTTCCCATTTGTTTACATAGCCCATACACCCCATTTGCCTTTATTTGCTTAAGTGTTTCTTTAATTTTATTTACATTTTTATATATGTTGCTTTGCTTACATAACTCATTGTTTGAAGTGGGCTAGAAATAACCATAAATCCCCATTGCTAATTAGCCTCATCCTCATAACTGATTAGTCAAGATTATGAGCCTAGAATGAGGGCAGGGAGGAGGTCTGAGAGTGACTCACAGGATCATTGAATTTTAGAGCTGGAAGAAATTTAGAGCTTCAGACATCTTTCAGATAGAATTCCGTGGTTTTACATCTTCAACGTTGGCAATTAGGAAAGACTGGCTGCTTGCTCTTGCTCCTTTATGCAAAAATATATGAAGATTTGGTGACAGCTTTTGAAAAACAAGTTAAGAATCAAAACAAAGTCCAATCAATGATGACTGTGAGTAACCCATAATGGGGGCTTAAAAGAAGAATCAGAAACTTGACACATATATGGGTTACAGAAGAGCCCGGAATATTAGTGGACATAAAGGGGCTTCTTCAGAAGTAAGAAGCAGGGATTGTTTGGAACTCCCTCTCCAGCAGCTGTGCAGTTTGTACAGATTTTAGCTTGCCTTACTGTAAGGTTAGCTATTAGCTTTGCAGTGGGGAGTATTTAAAAGTACACACAACACATGAAGGAAAGAACCTGGAACAGAGTAGCCTGCTTCTTTCCAAGAATCCATCTGGCATGTAAAGAACTGCTTGTCCTACATTAAACCCTGCAGAGTAAGAACAATTTTTCATATCTCATAACCCTATTTTTGCTTTCAGGTAAGACAGCTTACTGAGTTTGGGGAAGGAACAAGAGGACTTTTCAGAATCACCTAACCAAAGGGCCCATCTAGGGTGAGCTCCATGGATCTTAAATGGGGAAAATACTTTGAAGCTCTGTTTGGGAAATTAGGTTAAGAGGAAGCCCAAGCGTCCACAAGAGGTGTAAGTCTAGACCCCCAAATAATGTGAGCATTTAGTCGTTTGTAGGCAGAGTACAATGGAAGAAAAAGTGTTATATATATGACAATCCGTGGCTGGAGTCACCAACATTAAATGACTCATGGTGGTTGGGTAAATTGATAAGCAGAATCCAGTCTATCCTTAAATAAACATATCTTTGTAATAAAGAGCTCAATTTGCAGCTTTGGTCTATATGGAGGCGGCTAAAAGCAAACTCTTCGGAAGGAGTGGTCCCTGGATTACCAGGAATTGCAGAGTGTGTAAAAGGTTGTAAACCGTTAATTAGTCCTGGATGCCAGGCCCTTTCCCTCCTCCCGGATCCACTTCCCTCTGACACATTTTCATGTGCTCCTCTTTCAAGGGAAAGTGTGTGTTACTCATATCCACTGAGCCCAGGCATGAAGCATGCGGGACAACGGGCTCCCACCTTACCTGGTCACCTCTTGAGGGACAGCGCAAGGCCAGAGCGCTGGCGGCAACTCTGAGCAGCGACCTCTCGGTTACTATGGTGATCGCGGGATGGGCGGGGCCACAATGCGCTGCGTCCCCGCCTCTGCCCAGGGCTTTTCGAACGCTCCAATAGGGACAGCCCTTTCTTGCCTCTGTCCCGCCCCGTTCGGATCCGAGCGCGATTCGATTGGCTTGGGACGGGCGGCTGGGTACCCTGAGGATACCCCCTCCCGTCGGGAAGAGCCGGAAAGTGTACCAGGCGCTGTCCGAGGCTTGAAGCTCACGGCGCTGCGGGGTAGCACATGGTTGGCCTTGGAGCGAGTTGCCCCGTGTCCCGTCCATAACTCTTGGCACCCATGACTGCTAACACTAGGGAGCAGGAATCGGGGTGTGGGCACGTTTGCGGGCCGAGGCGGCCCATCTCGGAGGGCGAGGACGCGATGAGACTTGAGGATCCGGTGGCGCGCTCTCGGGCGCAGGGGATCAGAGGCCAGAGGGGCCGGGCCGAAGCCCGGGGGCGGTGCCAGCGACGGCGGCGGGAGGCGCAAGGCCCAATGAGCGCGCGCACCGCCCCTGGGGGCGGGGCGTGCAGAGCACTCCCCCGCCCTCCTGCTTGCCCCCGCCCCTCCCCCCGGGCGCTGGGGCCGCAGTGAGTGAGTGGCACTGGCAGCCTGTCAATCCCTCAGCCGAGCGGCCTTCGAGCCCGGTCCGCTAGCAGGGTGCGCGGCTCCGGCTGTGGCGGCGGCGACTTCTTCCGCCCCATCAATCTGCTGTCCGCTCCGCGCACTGCCCGCCGGGGCCCTCCATCGGGCTTCGCGTCCCCGCAGCGCCAGTCCGCCCGCTCCCAAACTTTCCTCCTCCGCTCCCCTCGGCCCGCCCGCCGGCCTCCTGCGCCGCCGCCCGCCGCCGCCGCTCCCTCCCCCAGGGCCG